TAAAAAGAAGGGGTTTCATCTTCAGACAGGAAGATGAAATGTCTACTAAAATCCCTCCAACTCTGGAAACATTGTCTTGGAGGGAAGAATTAAGAACTAAATGCACAGTCTATTCAGTTAACCAGGGGAAAGGTGAAAAGGTGACTTGATAGTAAGTTATATGAAACTGAAAAGGGATTTCTGAGGGTAGATTCATTTCCACTTAACAGCAAAATACACGATAATGCCAGTGCTCCCAAAAATGGTTTTAGTCCTGCTTGGTCTAAAAATATGGTGTATCCATGAAAAAAGAAAGCAAATAATAAAGAACTAAGGGATCATCTAGCTTGGTAGGTTATATTTATTTCCCTCTTCAAAGATTTTAAAATAAGGCTAGCATTTTTTTTTTTTTTTTTTAAAGAACTAATCAAATTGAAACAGAGTTGATTGGCCAAATACAGAAGCAATTGGTTGAGGATCTCTGGAATGCCAGTTTGGGGGAATATAATAGTTCCTTTAACCTCTAATATCAATGCAATATATGTTTTAACCCTTGTACTATTCTCAGACTTGGTCCTCACTCATAGCAAAATCAAGGAAAGGTCCATAAATTCAGTGGAAGGTGGATTGGACCTAAAACCTCTTAAAAGGTACAAGATGCTGCATGTTAATGAGCCATAGGTATGCGGTTCAATTCTGTAATAAATGTTCAAGAAAATCTTAAAAACAGTTGGAAAAATAAATATAATGGACATTTCTCTCAAATTGCTATGGAATGCACTCCAGCTGTATTTATTATACACATTTTCCCCATGTGCTATGTGCTTGCATTCTTTCGTGATGAACGATATTGCCGTGTGTTGGACTTGTCATGCTATCTTTCTTGTTTGAATCAGGAATGTGTAGGAGGTTATTTGAGGACAAAATACTGTAGGACCTCCTGTCATATTTTTGAGCTTGCAGCATGGAGCTGAGCAGTGGCTGAACGGCTTGGCTTAGGAGAGAGTTTAAACAGAGGCAAACCACAGCCTGCTAATGCTCCCAGTGCACCCATTTTGCTGTGCCTACAAGAATCAAGTACCAGATCTTCAGCTGTTGTTGTCTGACTCTTCATTTGAAGTCTCTGGGCATCAATTTTACTTTTCTGGTAAGGTAAAGTGTAGGACTGGGCCTGGGCCATGCCTAATACTGCTAGACACTACGGCAGCAGTAAATAATACATTACCATGAATCACTGGAGCTTTACTGAAATTAGTAAACTTGGCTGTCACCGAAATCCGGGGAAGCATTTCACCGTAGGGAAGCCTCAAAGTCCATCAGGGAGCATACAAGAAAGCAAACTGATTTTGTGGTATGCAGCAAATACAAAGATCCAGTTTCAAAAAAGGAAATAAATGACACAACACGTAACGCCATAAAAGCCATATGCCATCACACAGGATATTACTCATATGGCATAGATATTACAAGTCACATAGATTTTGATTGCTATTTTACCCTTATGTTGTGACTACACACTAGAGTTATAGGAAAAATTATAAAGGCAAACTGCATGTAGCTTATGTTTAATGAGAAAGTTTCTAATAAAGTTAATTTGTGGGGAAACCTTTCTGGTTCTGGTTTCTCCTGTGATTGCAGCCTTCTCCTGGACATTTGGAATTTTGAAATTTGTTCCACATTTTTTGATTCCAATGGAAACAAAAAATGAACTAGCATATCAAATCTCTTTTTCCTAGGTGATCCTCTCCTTTCCTTAGATGCGTGCTGTTACCAGTTGGCCAGCATCCCTTTCCAATTTTCTTTGACCTCTCTCTGTTGCATTCCTGGCTACACAGTGGCTCGCTTGGAGATTGCTTCCTTCCTTGACCCTGGTGAGGGACAGCAGTTAGGAAACTTTCCTGGGATGTGAATGCAATGGCTTCAGTTCTTAGAGAAAGGTCCAGCTCTCCCACTGTTGGGCAAGTGCTCTATTCACTCAGCTATTATGCAGAAACTGCACTTTTCCCATTCTCTGTAATGAAATCAGCGCCAACATTTCCCTCTCCTCCCATGAGCTCAGTGTTAAGGGTAAATACTCCGAGAAGGCATACTGGATCAACCCCTTTAGGGGTGCAGGCAGAATTCAAGGACCGGTCCGTCTAAACCTAGATTTCAACGGAGCAGAAGACAAGGTGTCCGGATCGTTCTCCAGAGAGGAAGAACACAGTGTTCTGCTCACAACACATGCAGTCGCTGCTGGAACTTTCAGGGTAATCATGATATGCTGAGAGATGGAGACACCTAGGAGACTAGGTGATTTGAACCTGGATCACTCTCAGGCACGTAAGCAAAATTACAGGACCAGAAGTCTTTTAAGCCATGTCTGTAACTAAATACAACACCCAGCAAAGTGGTGTAAAGTACCTGAACAAGCTCTGTGAGAGTACATGTGAGTGTAGCAGATGTTGACGGGATGTAGGTTTGGAAGGCGAGTGTGCAGTCAGGGTGACTTTGCTGATGCAGTAGAAGCAACCTTATCAGAGAAAGCGTGTGCTCAGTCTCTAAAAGGGACTGTCTGCTGTGACAGTGGTCTGCCCAGATGGTAGGACACATAGCACAGAGACTGTCATAACTGGAAAATGGATGTTCAGGAAGCAGAGAAGAGACGAGCAGGCACTCAAATGATGTTTGAGAGTCTTGTTACAAATTTTCTAATTATTCAGGTTATAACTAGCATTTATGGCCATTTCTGAGTGCTCTTACCAAGAAGTTTAAAACACATGCTCATATACATCTGGGATGGTTTAAAACAGAGAAAGATGAGAGAAAACTTCCAGAGATCCCTGGGAAGGCATGATTTAGCCACTTGCAAACTCAGCTTTTTCTATGGAGGAAGAACACAGGTTTATTAGTGTGGCACTGTCTTCTGACAGTCTCTTCATGGGATACTGATTCAAAACCCTTGGTTATTTCCTGGGAGAAGGAAAAGGGGATGTTTTCTACAAAAATGCCTTCCTTGCTCTGTACCTACGTATGATGCGGGATCCAGTGCTGACTGAAGCATGAGTCATGTACTCCACATGCATTGCAGCACTTGGTAAGTGGGCCGTGAAGTGCAGTCCTTGGCTCATGAGTCATCAGCTTCATGTGAGTGGGCAGTCAAATCCTGCATAGCCTGATTTTTCAGAGACATTTCTATGGGTATTTTGAAGTGTAGCATATGGCATGAGCAAATTATTCTGGTTTTGTTTGTGCTTGCTGTAGCTTCAGCTTTGGCCAAGGCCCCGCATTATTAGGCCTGATATATCCTACAAGTTTTATTTTCAGTCATTCCAGCTTTCACATGCTTGTCTAGAGAAGTTTCATCATCTGGTTCTCTGTAAGCAGTTTCCATTTCTTTTTACATTCCAACGGAAATGAGGAAGTGAATGGAAATAGCAAATAAGATAAATAAGCTATACTATTTCTTCTTCTGTTAGAGCTGCTTTGTCATCAAACTGTGGTTCTGGTGAGTCTTAAATGCAGAATATGTATTTGCTCTTTCACTAGTTCTCCTTTTAGTGTCATTTGGTAATATAAAATAGTTGTAATCCTCTATCCTGCTGTTCCAAAACTTCACCTAGCACCTCATACAGCCACAGAAAAACTGACGCTTACGGAGACAGGGCTCCTGCCACATCCAAAATGCCCCCAAGTTTCACAGGAGTCGTGCCCTATCCATACTCTTTATACTTAGGGCCACATACAGGTCAGACACTCCCTCCATCTTTATATGGAACTGGAGAAAGATTGTACTTAGCTTCCTCCAAATTCTCCTTGGACCCTTGGTATGTGGCTCACGAGGAACACAAAAAATGGCACCTTTCTGAATTGTAAGAGAAAGACAGCCAGCTCAAGCTGGACTGGATGAGACTTCTCGGGACTGCTCCTTGGACTTGGCATCTCCTGGAAAAACAGCCTTGCTCTGCTGCCAGCTGCCACTGCTGCTGCTATCTCAAGGAGCAGCCACGTGCACCACAGTGCCTGGTTTAGAGTGGAAGCTCCCCTGGTGACTCACGAGGGTCCTGTATTTAAAAGCTGCTAGCTACAAGGGGTTTTTGAAAAGCTTTTTCTTAATACAAAAATCAGTATCTGATGCAACTCCCCCTCCAAAAAAAAACAAAAGACCAAACCCAAGCCAAACATGAAGACTACCACAAAAAGCAGGCTGGTTGCAAAGCATAGCAATCGGAACTCGGGGCGCTGTGGAGGTGCCCATGCAAACCTTTCCCGTGGCTGCGGTATGCCTACACACCCGCTGCCCCTGCCCACTCGAGTCGCTTTGTGGCAGGCACAGGACCCTGCCCCTCCCCGAGCCCCCCGATGGAGCAGGATCTGGTCCCCAACAGCAAAGTCCGGCCCTTCCCAGCCTTCGAGGACCTCATATGCAGCCCGGTAGTTCCTCGGACAGCCTGTTTTCCCCCGAAATTGCAGTACACTTGCGTGCACTGCCGCTCCCCCACTCACTCCTGCTTTTTGGATCACATTTCAGCACGGGGGAGGGGGAACCCCACGGACGGGTTTCTCCCGTGGCGAAACGTGCTTTTCAAGGCGGTGGTGGTGGGGTGGGGGAATGCGAGGAAGCCCGGCCAACATCACTCCGAGCCAGAGTGCTCTACCGACCCCAAACCCCTCCACAGCCCCTTTGGGGGCGGCCTCTGCCGACACACACCCCCTCACCTCCCCACCGCCTCCGCTGCGGGGTCCCGGGGGCGGGGGGGGGGGAGCCCCGCGGGCCGGGCCGAGCACTAAGGGCGGCCGGCGGCAGCCGAAGGGGCAGCAGCGCCCGGTGGCCGGAGCTCCGCGGCGGAGCCGGGGGCGGTCGGAGCTCGGCGGGGCCGGAGCGCAACGCCCCGGCGGCCGGAAGCCAGGGCGGGGGGTGAGGGGTGGGGAGAGGGGAGGACCGGCTGGGCTCGGCCCGGCTGAAAAGGAGGGCTCGCCCGCCCGTCGCCCCCCCAACGCATCCCCCCCCCCCCCCCCTCATCCCCCCTCCTCCCCAGGCGTCCCGCACCATGGCTCTGTCCTGGAGGAGCTGGCTGGTTAATGAGGGGAGCAAGCACCTCTTCCTGGTAGGGGGCTGCCCCCCTTGGCTGGGCCGGACCTGCGGGGGTGCGGCCGGGGCCGGCCCTGGGGGGTGTTCGGCTCGGCGGGTCGCACCGGGGAGCCCCGGGGGTCGGGGCGGTTTGGCGCGGTGCGGGAGGTTCCAGCCGTGGGGGGTGTTGGGGGGGGGGGGGCAGGACGGCGGTCGGGGGGGTTCGGTGTGCGGGTGGTTGGGGTGCGCTCCGTACCGCTGTGCGCCTGGCAGGGGTACACGCGCGTGCCGTGGCCGGGGACAATGCAGGAGCCCCCGTCCTGCGGGGACTCGGCACACGGTGTACGTGGGTCGGCTCTTTGTTAGAGCCTCTTTGGGAAAGTTTGGGGGAGACCTTCTTGGAGGTCAAGCTCTTCCTGCCTTTGTCTCTTTGTTGCTAGTTTTTATTCTTTGAGTCTTTAACTGCAATACCTAGCCAAAGAGTTGGAGTAGCGATTTGTATATGGAGGGGTTTGCTGGCTCACAGTAATCTTAAATCACAAAGGTAAGGTTTTGTGAAGTTCAGTGAAAGTGAAAATTTCTCCTGTAGGGGCTATTCCTTTTAATATTTTAAAATATTTTATACTAAGTGGTTGAAATTTGTCTTCCCATTGCATTTTTGTATGTTTATTAAACTACAGGGGTATGAGTTTTATGAATGAAATGAACACTGAAAAGTTTGGACATGTAACTTTCACTTACAATCTCTTGTTTCTGTTTCATTTTAGTTTTTCTGGTTCTCCCTCAATGTATGGCTCTTCTGGAAAACCTTCCTGCTCTATTATCAAGGGCTGCAGTATTATTATTTGCATCAGATGTTAGGGGTGAGTGACCCAGACGTTACTTTTTGCCCTAGAAATTGGGATGCTGGGAGTTGGGAAAGGGACAGAATGTATTTGCTAATCAAGGATGACACAAACTGCCTGTTAAGGCTTCAAAGTGGGGAAAGATCAAGTAGGAAATTACTGGGGTACTGTTGACAATTGTTTAGGAATAGAAAGTGGCCAGTATTGAGAAGAAAAAGAGCCAGTCAAGTGTGGGACAGCTATCCTTCCTCCTCTCCTTCCCGTTGTTCCCAGCTGCAGGCAGGTTCAGAGGAACACAAACATGCTCAACAGATGACTGGAGCTCAGCTTTCTGTCATCAAAACATTAGCCAAATTTATGGGTTTGTGCTGGCAAATTCTTCTAATCCAGTTATTGTGATCCATATTTGCTGAAGGAATTCTATTGATAAGCCTTAGTTCTTTTCAGTCTTTGTCATCCTCATAGATCCTCTGTTTTGTGTAAATCCTTGTAATCTATATAATTTTATTTTTGTTTTCTAATAACAAATTCTTGGAATCTAAATGGTTTAGTGAAGAAGTGGCTACTTTGACTTAACAAGGGTAACATCCACCACCACCAGAAGAATCCAAAAAGGCAATTTTGGGAAGTGAGATACCCATCTGTCTTGTGAAGTTATCCACAGCTATGCCATTGCAATTGTTTGAAACAACTTCTACCCAAAGGGATAGATTAAGGGTTAACAGCTTTCTGGAAAATGCTCTAGAGTTGCTCAGAATTTGAGAATCCAGGAGAAAGTGCATGAATAACTTGATACTTTGTAACACTATGTCATACTTAGGAATGGATTTCAGTGACAAGTTGACATGGGGTGAAAGCGCAGATGATGCACATCCTAACCTGCTGTAGAGCATCTGGGTTTTATCTTTGGTACATCCCCGATATATTTTTTTTGTATGGTTGATATTATTGCCACAGCTAGCTGGCTCCATAAGCTTTTGTGAACTTGCTTAAAAGTAAGTTGACCTGATAGACTTTTCTTTTTCTTTTTTTTTTTTTTTTTTTTCTTCCTTCTCATGGTTGACTCAGATGTGTTCAAGAAATGAATCTTAGCAAAGGTAGTGCAAAAAGAAGGAACTGAAAATACTTAAATCCTTTATGATGATGATTTTCTTGACAGAAAAACATGAAGACATGTTTAATTTTACCATAATCTCTAATGGCTTTGCAGCCCAGTGCATCCATGTGAAAACTGTGTTTATTCCTGGCAGAGCAAGTGGGTTGTTTATAAAGCAAATGTTCTTGGGTCAACATGTTGGGCCAGATTGTCAGCTGGTATCAGCCAGCAAAGTTCCTCTCAATTTGCAAGGCTCATCTGCCTTGTACCAGCTCACTGTCTGGTGTTTTTTTTTTTTTTTTTTTTTTGTTTTGTTTTCTTATTCTTCAGAATGAAAGACACATACAAAGTAATAATATTGTCTGTTCAGAACCTGTGAGATGATTCAAGCAACAGATTCCTTGTCTTGGTCAGGAGATGAGGACCAGGAGGCCATGCGTTTGAGTTTGTCTGTCTGCAACTGTGGGGAAAAAATATTGAACAAATTTTGAGACTTTGTAAAATGAGAGGGATAGTGAAGAGCTAAGTCTAAAAGATACTTCTGATCAAAGCTCTGGAACCAGTTTAAAAATTTTGAAAATATTAAACAGTGTAAAACAATCTCACAATTAACTTTTTACACTTTTATCTAAGTGTCATCCTTAGACTCCAAAGTTAGCTCTCTCTCTTCTTTTCAATATATTTGTATACATGTATAAGTCATACAGATTTGTAAGGGTTGGGAAAACTCAATCCAATTTTAGTTTCATCAGGAAACAAAGTAAGCATATCCATACTAAAGCTGCTGTTACTTTCCACAAGGATTTTTGTTCCTTTTCTTTTTCTGTATTGGTTTGTGTAACCACTGGCCCATGGCCTATTTGCATAACCAGTCTCCTCTCTGTTCCATAGATGGGTGAGTGGCCCTGTGTGCCATTTCTTGATGTTTGAAAATGTTGAGATTTAGATGAAAATTCTTCATTTATAATTAAGCATTTTTTTTTTTGTTGTGACAGAGTTAACTTTTTTACAGATACTTTCATGAAAATTGATTCCTTTTTCCAGACAGTTAACAAAGAATGGCAAAAAGGAATGGCATGTTTTGACTAAAAAAAATTTCTCTTGTTTTTCAGTGAGGTTTACTGAGGAGTTTATTTTCTCTCTTTGTATGCTACAATAGCCTAAAATCTCCTTAAGAACTTCTGCCCTTGCAGCACTGAAAGATTTACTACAGGTAATTTTATTGTTTACCAAGTAACAGGATGGAGAACAAGAAGAGTTGCTGTAGGAAATCAGATTGTGATATGAAATGAGATCTGTGAGATCTTGGACTGAATGTATTCAACTCTGCTACATTTTCATGCCAGGTCTTTCCTTTCTGATGTGAAGAATGAGAAAGAATGAGGTTAGTCTTTCCATCAGTAGTTACTGAAGTGGTTCACTTTCCTTTAGCCTTCTACAAAAGAAGGAGGTTCAATTTTATTCCTTTGCGATTGCATCCTCTGTGACCTTGAACAAGATACGTAACACAGGGTTTTAAATTTATTTAGATACCTAAGTCCCACTCAATCTTTCAATGTCAGTCTTTCTTTTCTTTACTGCTATATCTCTAAAGAGGTACTAAGAGCATGGTGGTGTCCTGGAAATGCAAAGAGAATAAATAAGTCAGAGGCACAGATGTGCTAGGAGAAAGTTCATCAGCCGATTCTATGCCACAAAATTCAGTGGGTAAATTTATGTTATATCAAACATCACTGCTTTGCTCAGTTTGAGTCCTGTTGATGACACCATAAACTCTTCACTGTGGAATCTCCATCCCTGGAGGTTTTAAAAAACTAGTTCAGCAAAACCCTGAGTAAACTTAATCTGATTTTGCTGTTGAACATGCTTAGAGCAGGAGGTTGGAACAGAGACATCCCCAGGTCCCTTCCAACCAGAATAATTCTGTGATTGTATGATTCTTGCAGCGTAAGTTCAACCAGAACCTAGTGGATGTAAACCCTTTCCCAGCGCTTTTGCCTTGATGAGCTATCCCTTTGGATACTTAATTGCTGTAACACTGCAGATCATAGTCTTACTGCATGAATGCATTCATTGCCACTGGTTCAGCAACATGATTCACATGAAGAATCTCAGTTTTTCATAATTTAATAGATGTTAACTTGTGGTTTTACTTTACTTAAAGAAGTGAAGCCTGGGAAACAGCTGACAGGCATGGATTTCTTATAAAAGAGTGTGGCAAAGAGGAAAACAATATTCTCATCTTCATGTTCATGTTGTATACTACAAAATGTACTAGGCATGTATTACAGAAAGGAAGATTCATAAGTTACTCGACATAACTCCAGAATATTTGTTGTTGGAGCTGTTGTGTCTGCCCAGTCAGAGGAATTGTCCAGATGACTAATTTCTTTGCAGGCTTCAAGACTTCTCCCTTCAGATTAGCTTTTTTTTTTTTTTCCAAGTTTGCTTGCATCTGACCAACAAATTCAGTCCTAATTTCAGTACTGGCCTTATTATAGAACTCAAATCTTGCTTTTAACAGCATTAAAGGGAATACCAGTTTCTTGTTGCTTGAGTTCCCCATAAACAGGAAGAGCAATGGGCTAATTTTTTTCATGGCATAAAAGGTCTCTCCCTATTCCCTCTAGTTCCTGCTCAAATAACTCTAATGTAGTCAGATGGATGTTAATGCAAGAGATAAGCTTCTGGGTTTCAGACCAAAGTGAACAGAATGCATTATCAGAAAGATCTCTTTGGGAAAAGATAGACTAACTGAAAATGGGACTGAAGGAAATGTGCTGCCTCATTTTTTTTATCTATATAGTTGCTGCCTCCTTACTGTGCAGTTCTTTATATCACATTTATGCCATCTTTATTCACTGCTTGGAATATGCTCCATATATTCCAGTAACTTGCATGTGTCTCCTTGCTGGTTTATCATAATGCTAGAGATTTTACTAATTGAGGCCAAATTCTGCTTTCATTGATCCTTGTGCAACCACTCTGTGGCCTGCTTCCCCTACACATCCAGGCTCTGGAGGGTGTTGTGTATCTTGACTCTTTTTCCTTAATGCAACATGTGTTTGTTATTTAATTGTCTTGTAACAAAACTATTTGGGATTTTCTCTTTGAGTGTTACATGTAGCAAAAATGGCTAATTATAGATCTATGTCACTATGGAAGCTATGTACATATGCAGGATTCCCTAATGAAGACTGAGGGTGTTAATCCACAATACTTTATCTTGATAATCCCCTTGAATTTGCAAGTAAATCTCTTGCATTCTCTTTGCCTCAGTCTAGATTTTTTGTTTGACAAAATGTTTTTCCTTCAACTCTTTGTCCTTCCTCAACAGCCCACAGTTCTGCATCCTTGCTGAGATTATTCTGTTATGAGCCAATGAAGAACTCTGGTTTTGCACCATATAATTCTTCTGTTTGCTTGTGGTTTTTTTTTTTTTTGTTTTGTTTTGTTTTGTTTTGTTTTGTTTTGTTTTGTTTTGTTTTGTTTTGTTTTGTTTTGTTTTGTTTTGTTTTGTTTTGTTTTGTTTTGTTTTGTTTTGTTTTGTTTTGTTTTGTTTTGTTTTGTTTTGTTTTGTTTTGTTTTGTTTTGTTTTGTTTTGTTTTGTTTTGTTTTGTTTTGTTTTTTTTTCCCCCCCAAGATCGAATGGCAGTAATCCTTTGAAGGACATCTGTATTATTAACTTTTATGGTACAGCTTCCACCTTTCCATAACTTCTTGTGAAACTGTCAATAGTGGAGGTTCAAGTAGTAGAGGTACATCTCAAATAACTGAAGTTTTTACTACTGTACCTTGTAGACTTGGGTTAAAAATAGTCTTGTCATCATTGCTTCTCATTTGAAGATGATCATAGAATAACTCTTTGTGTAGAATAGAACAGAGCTATGGCCAAAATGCCTTTTTGGTTGATTATTCATTA